TTTTTCAGTTTTGGGATCGAGGCCTCGAGTCTTTTTGTCGTCGATCTTGCCCTGGCCTACTTCAAACCATTTTTGTGAGGAATACTTGTTTTAGTTTTAGTAGAGGTTTTACGGCGCTCGCAACTGCACAAGGTCGTATGAGCACCAAGGGGTGGATGTCAACAGAGAAGTCCTTATAGGGAATCAGATTTACCCTGCTCACCCCTCTAGCTTCAACAGCACATAGTCTGCTTGGACTATCAAGGCAACCCGGGAATAGCGGGGCACAAGAGTGTGACAAACATACAAGAGAAGTAGAGGAAAATGACAATAATAAGGATTACGAAAGAAAAAGCAGCAGTTCCCTGTTGTAGTTCAGGCACAGTTATGAGCATGACTTTGTTGGATCAATTCTATTGTGCATTAGAATGAGAAATGTCCCCCCTTTGGGAATGGCCTAAAGACACTTCAGTCAGTGGCACTGCCCTGGGGGGTAGAGGAATACTTGACGTGGCCCTGGCTCACCAAGACCCTACTTCCAGCGGCCCCACCAGGTGGTTCAAGTTTGAGACCTCTGATCTAAATTATGTCGGTGGAGGCATAAAAGATTTAGTCATTATGTACAGAGACCTTGTTGAAGAGACAGTTGAAGTCCACATGCACACAGTCCCCTGTGTGAGAGTCAAAGAGAATGTTTTCTCCATGCCGATCGCCCAGACCCAGGATGTATCCCACGATGCTCATCACAGCAGCCGTTCTGGCGTACGACACTCTCGCACTGTACCTGGCCAACAAAAAAGGAACTTCGGTGTTTATTTGTAAAGAGAAGTACATTGACAAAATAGGGTCATTTCATGCAGGGAAATAGAAGCATATTCATAGAATAATGATAATAATTAAATGCCAGGAAAAAGTAAGACAAAAAACAATAGAAGAAAAGAAAAGAAGTAGGATGTACAAGTGACACCCTTCAACCACCCGGGAGCTCAGGCGTACACAACCCATTTGCTCAAAAGGCCAGGACTCAGAAATTCGTCGCAAGGCTCTCTCTTTAATGATCTAAATAGTGTCAATGTGGGTGTAAAATATCTAGAACTATTACCATGACGTGGGGTCGGGAAATGTCCTCATGAACCATTCCGGCAGCATCTGAGGGTGACGAGGCAGCAGTTTCTCCTTGTAGATCGTCATTTTTGTCCTGAAAAGACAAACAAAACAAAAATGAGAAACAGACTCTGGAACGGAGACAAATTTTACTAACTAATCCTCTTCTACATCTCTTGAGTTTTCTTGTTTTGTTTGTTTGTTTGTTTGTTTTTTGGGGGGGGTCCTTTTTGTTTTCGTTTTCGTTTTGAGGAGGGGGGTTGTAAATGTTTTACGGTGCTCGCAACTGCACAAGGTCATATGAGTGCGCAGGACACATTAAACATTTTTAGTAGGGAGGGAGGGGGGGAGAGAGAGAGAGAGAGAGAGAGAGAGAGAGAGAGAGAGAGAGAGAGAGAGGGAGAGAGAGAGGGAGAGAGAGGGAGAGAGAGGGAGAGAGACAGAGACTTACTCTAGAGAGGAGTGTAGGGAAGGCATCAGAGCCTTCAGCTCTTTCCCAGACATATACAGCCCCTTCTCCTTGTACAGTTTCACAAGGATGTGACGTAGACCCGTGGTGTTGTTCACCCACTCTATCAGCCCACACTCTTCATTGAGGGGTGTCACAGTCTGAAAAAACAAGACAAAAAAAGCCAAAATAGTTAAAGAAAAATAAATGAAATAAGGAGTAAGATGATTTGTAGCTCCTGTTTTGCAGTCTGACCCCCCCCCCCCCCCCCCCCAACAAACAAACAAAAAATTAACATAGTTAAAGAGCACTTGAAGAAATAGGATTACAATGATTTGTGGCTTCTGCTATGGCCAACGACACCAGTTTGGGCAGAAACCAGTTTGCCACATTTTGAGCATTAAAAAGCATAATTTCCTTATGTGCTTTACACAGGCTTCTCTCTTGACTTCAGCATTTCTAATTCAAGAAGCCCTATACTCATAACCCTTCCAGCCCCATGCGCATATATTTTCAGCAGCGCTTGTACCTTCCACTATTCCAAAAGCGTATATTCTCAGTTTCGAGGAGTACCGAATTTGCGCATTTTTCAAAATTAGCAAACCTAATTAAACTTTAATGTTCATAATAATACACACATACATAAGTTCTGATCAACAAACGCCGTTTCCTGGACTCTGCATCTCTGCGTAGGAATTTGTTGATAATTGCGTTAAACTCCATCAGACGGCAATCCTTCCTCAAATCATCCTGCAAATGTAGAAATGAACAAAGTCAAGCAGAATGTAAGAAAGATTCTTCTTTTACTAGAAACACCTGGACTCATTATTGACCACTCACCAGTGAGGCTCTTATTTTTAAAAAAAAAATTTTTGGGTGAGTGTTTTACGGCCCTCGCAACTGCATAAGGTCATATGAACGCGCGGGACACATTGAACATTTTCAGTTGGAAGGAAATTTTGAATTTTTCGCGGGTGGCGACCAAGCCTACTCTTATCAATTTTTGGACCACCAAGGGATCTTTAACGGGCACAACTTGCACACGGGACCCCAGAACCCAGAACCTTTGAATGAGAGGCAAACACCTTAACCTCTAGGCCATGATAACCCCCTGAGGCTCTTAGTGGTGAAAGTCACCATAATAAATCAGAGATATCAACAATAGATTTATAGTTTATTACACAACATACAAAAATGGGCCGACATGGGAGTCAAAGCTTATCCCCCCCACTATAAGAGACGTTATGTTATAGGCAAGAATACATGGTACATTTGTACTTACAAAAAGCCACATCGAAAGCTAAGAATGTAAAGAATGCTACATTCTCGCGTTCAGAAGTGCCAACTGGCTATGAAAAAAAAAATCTGGAACATTTCAGACCCCGCTCAACCATGCGCCCTGGGACTTATAATTTAGGAATCATATTATATATAGATCTTCATATAAAGTGCAATGATATACCTAAAGTTGCACTGAATCTGGACAATCTCAGAAATCTGTATTTCCCAGTTAATCCGGAAAATCTGATATTCCCATTTAATCCAGAAAATCAATATCTCTGTGTATTTACCTCACAAGCAGTGCTGTCAATTGTTTTTGAGTACCACTTCTTGCAACATCTATGGACATAAGAGTGCTAGCATTGAGTCAACAGAAGTCCCCCCTCAAACACACACACACACTTCTACTGGTTCCCTGAGCCCAGGTTTCACACAAACAAAAAGCAAAAGTCAAAAAAGGACAGCAGACGAGTACCTTTGGTTTGCACATCATCACGTATCGCTTGCCGTCACTGCCAATCATTGTGATCTTTTTGGGCTTCTGGAGAGAAGGCAGCACTTCAATCTGCCGGGGAAAGCAACAACGTCTCCTTAAAAAGTCACCAACAAGTCGTCAGATTAACGAAGTTGTATTGGCAAACATGAGAAAGTTAATGAACACAGATCGGATTACACAGAAAACAAATGCTTAGAATGATAACTGTCCTTCTAGTAGAAGTAACAGAAATAATGTGCCCCCC